ATTCGTTTTTTTAATTAGGCGCCATTCTAAAAAATATTTTTTTTTTTATAATAAATTCTAATATTCTTTTGCATTAAGAAAACAAAGCACATACCTGTTGTGTCTTTTTTATTAGAAAGAGTATTCATTTTCATTTATTCATATTGTATAATATGCACTGATTACTTCTTTTGCATTGACATCCGACAATGATTTCCGAAAGTATTTTTATGCATAAGCAAAATAACATTTAAAACTTTTAGACTATTGAAGTTCTAGAGAAGACAGTTATTATTATACTATAGAAAATACATAAGTTGAAAAGTCTTTCGTTTTGAGATTGAAAAGTAGTTCAACAAAACTTACTAGCATCATAGATGAATCATACTCAATTCGAATATAAATAAATATAAATAAGAAAAGTTATAAGCTTAGAAAGTATTAGTGTTGACATGATTACAGATTTTCTTTTCATCAATACTCACACTCAAGATTCTCATTTGAGCGTTTTCACGTTTATTTAGAAAGCACAAGAATCAACTATTTTTATCATAAAAGATACGTCAAGACACTCAAAAAAACAGCAAATCTTACGTTGTGAAAACGTGCAAAATTGTTTTTTTCTACAATATTTTGACTTGTTTTACAGATAAGAATGTCTTTTTAAAGTGTGGTATATGTCAGAAATATAAAAAGAAAAAATGTTATACGTTTTCCAGATGTAAACGTTTGCCTTCCTCTTTGAGCGTCTTAATACATATTTTATGATGAAATTAATTAGCTGGTTTTAGTATTTTCTGAGTGAACACGAAAGCAAACTATATTTAAGATATTTAAACGTGTTTTCAGAAATTCTTATTCACTTGAGACGTTCTTTACTCAATATGTTTTTTTGATATTTTTTTTAATTTTGAAATCTTTTAAAAATTCTGTTTAATTTTGTCTGAATCTCAACTTTTTCTGATACATATTTACTTATAACTCAAGTACTTCTATTTGATAACACACTTTCTCTTATCTATAAACAATGTTTGGAAGTATAACAGATCACAATAACTTATAAGAGATCAAAGTACTTTATAGAAAAACATAGTGTACATTTTTTCTTCAAAAAAAAATGAACTATGAGTGAACTTTGAACGAATACAATTTGTTTTTCTACTAAAAATCTATCGACCACTAGAAACTTTTTATTTCATACAAACTGCATTCAAAAGTCAGTTTCTGATGTGTATCGATAGAATAGGCGATGATTTCTGTAGCGTTACCAACTGGTTACACGACTGTAAATATGAGCATAAGGATAATTACGATTTCTATGACTTGTATAAAAGGCATGTCTTCATGTATTTTCTGTAGGCACATACTAATCTGAATACAAAACAACAATCATAAGAATCCATATTGCATTTTTGTTCGCAATACTGCCGGTATACTAGTAGTAGATTGTCGGTCAGTGACCAAATATCGTTGTACCACAGTAGAGTAGCTATCAGACAATAACCAACAGTCTATGAATAGTTATTCTAAAACAACAATAAATAAAATTTATAATAAACTTGTTCATATGAAAATATTTCAGATAAATGGCGTCACATCGTTTCGAAGTAACGCTTGTACCTGAATCAAATCCTAATGTTTCATCAATTGAACAATCTGAAATAATTCCATCAATTCATATTGAAAATGAAACTCCATCACCACTGCCACCATTACCTACTTCTCTTTCATCAATTTATGAAAAGAATAAAAATCGAACATCATCACGATTATTCAGTGCAGCTTTACTACGAAAATCTTTAGATATTCGTCGTCGTGCTACAATTGCAGCAGCAGCTGGATCTACTAGTGAGCAACTAAAAAAGAGTTCATCAGTCGATGCTATTCATAAAACTGAATCGAAATCGAGATCTCCATCTGCAACTAGTCGAACAGATATTACTACCGGTAATGACGTTGAAGAATCTGATACATATTCAACAGTGCAATCAAATAATTATGATACAAATCCATTACGTATAACAAATAAATTTCTTCAAGAACTTCGTGCAAAACGTCGAGAATTACGTGAAAAATCAAAAAATATATCCATTGATCAACGTATAGATTTAAATCGTCGACAAAATCAACGATCAATTATACGTGCACAAGATATATTTGATGTACATTTTCAATTAAATGATGATGATGATGATGAGCAATTACCATTATTAGAACCAAATTTATATACTGAAGAACATCAAGAAAAAATTCGTAATGATATTTATAATGAATTAAATCGTCAACGTACAAAACAATATCATAAATATAAAAGGCATTTATTATTGGGTCGATCATTATTAATGTTTATGACATCATTATTAGCATTCATGAGTTTAACATTAATCTATGTTGTATTCGATTTCTATAAGCGAGCAAATTATTCAGATGCAAAACTACCAGAAAACAAATTTATATCAATGATTCATGATAAAACAACAAATTTAAATTGATCAGATACAATAAACATCCAAGACTTTAGTCGTATATTAGATATATATCTTATGCATGTTTATCGCTCAATGCAAATCGATTTTTCATAGATCATATTTTTCAAATTGTAATTTACTATCTGCAATATACTTTTGTTTTGTCACTATTATGATATAGACAGTCACTGTAGCTTTGTCTGTATGTAGTTTGTATTTATTTTAAATAAAGAATGAATTTAGTCATGAGGATGACGTGTAAATATTTTTCAAATCTTTTCTCAGATATGTTGAAGTAGAAGTGAATCACTTCATGAATATATTATGGTTAGCGCATAAAGAAATATCTTTTTAGTAATTTCGAAACTCGTTGTCTATTGTTCATCTTATTGACATACTTTTTTTTTAATCAGGAGATTGCACTTGAAACAGATTACAATGTTATATTGAATATGATCCAAAAATTATTTTGCATGTATTCCAAAAAATGATGAGGGAATCAAGGGATACTAAAAAATTTAAAATAAATAGAAGAATGATGAGGGATTAATGAAAATCTATTCTGATTTTTCAGCGATGTACTTTTGTTATGCTTGCATTCATGAGAGAAGCACCCCATGTAGTACCCCGTGTTTGAAATGAGACATCACTCATCATATGGAGTCTGTCGAGACTAGAAAATATCACGAAGGATATATCTTCATGATACTTGTAAAAAAATCAATAAATCAAATTTTGACCAGAAACTGTGTTCTTAAACAACTCTTGTGATTATTAGAGTATTCTAAAAAATTTAGCCAAAAACAACGATTCCTTCTTGAGATATCAAATCTCCCAAAACATCGTAATATCCTATGAAAAAAGACAGACAATCTAGGTGTTGTGAAGATTTAATATGTCAAGAAGAAATCGCTCTTTTTGACTGAAACATTTAAGATACTCTAACGGTCTCAAGAGCTGTTTATGAGCAAAGTTTCAGATAAAAACTCGCTCGTTCGATTTTTTTATAAGTACCGTACCAAAGGTAAACAATGCAGCGGAACGATCATAACTCCAGGAGAATAACACACGACAGCCTGGCGTGCTACTATTGTCAATTCGCACAAAAAAATATTTCGAGAGGTGAAATACCTGTTGAAACAAGCAATGTCAAGGTGATATCGTATTAAGACCCACAAACAAGGACTACCGTTATGTAAATTGCATTTTAGCATAATGATATTCGGCGATTGTCGCCTCACCTTCATTAAAAATGCTATACAGATCATTTTCGTGCATCCAACTTGAATAATCATTGCGCACCACCATCGCATGATTCAAATCCATAAAATTATTATTTATGAAACGTAGCCACTGAAACTATGCACTGACAATATAATATGACATAGTTTATATAAATAGATAAACGCAAACAGGTTAAATAAAAGTTTGTAAAAGGAAGAAAATTTAAATATTTTATGCTTGATTTGATTGTATGATTATGTCCTGTTTAATTGAAATCGAAGAGACTATTTTTAAAAATATCAGAGTTCTTTGGTCTCAAACTCAAATTGAAAATTTGATATTTTTTTTACTTTTTTCTATATTTCATCTACAACAAAATATATTTATTACATATAATATTCGTCAGCCGACAGAGCGAAAAAAGCATAGCGTTTTAATCGAATCAATATCAAATGCACTACGCGTGACGACTTCTTAGAAAATTAAATGGGCCGAGATTTTCTTTAATATTAGAAGATAGAAAAAAAAATTCTCTATCAAACTGTACTTTTACTTCTTTCTAAAAAAGTGATTGTAACCGAGACGTAATCGATACAATCTGGTCAAGAGAAACAAAGATAGCCTATAATGGCTTCAGCATGGAATAGTAACAAGGTTCCGAATAGCAAGTGTACGTTGCAGAATCAACATGTACGAAACCCTTGCTAAATCCAATTTACACGCTATTTTACACGCTGCTGGCAAAGGTAACATGTACGCAATACACTCTGTCTATGAAATTAACACTTTGTTCTTTGCCGAAAAATTTTTTTTGTTGATGAATTAATATTAATATGAGTGAACGGTAAAATGTACAACACGATCTCTTCTGACCAATTTTACTATCGACTAATCCTTTTGTTTATTCAATCTTACGCATTTGTTTTACACTTCTGATCAGACATTAATATGAACACGTTTATTTTTCTAGATTATTTGATAAACTTCGATTTCTACACTGTGGTACCCTTTGCTTACGAAAGTTAAATGTACACGTACCCTTTGCTAGGTCAAACAAAGTGTACGAAAACATTTTGATTCCGAAATCCATTTGGAACCTTGCTATAGGATGAAACACATCAGAAAAAATAAATCGTCTGAAAAAATGATTTAAGTTGGAATAAACCAATCACGTTGATTAATTCATTTTATTTTTTCAATCTGTTTTGGAGGAAATAGAAAAATACGTTATTGTCTGTATGCACGATATCGGTCAAATAGAACCAATGATAGTATGCATATAGATATTGACCTTCATAAGTTGACAAGAATAGATAAATGAACATAAACATGGAATATTCATGCGTTGGATTTAACGATTTACCTGATGAAATTCTGATGATTATTTTCAAAAAAATAAACAATCTTGAAGTACTTTATTCTTTACAAGGTGTTAATCAACGATTAAATAAAATTGTTCAAGATTCGACTTTTACAAGTCGTTTGACTTTTGTCAAAAGATGCTCAGATAATTTTATCGATCTATTTCATTGTAATATGATGCTTAATCGATTTTGTTTACAAATTTTACCTGAAATTCATGATAAAATCAAATGGCTTGATCTTGAATCATCATCTATGAAGAATGTTTTATGTGCTGCTGATTATCCTAATTTGTATGGTCTTGGCCTTTATAATATTAATGAAGAGTCAGTTCGATGTCTTTTTACTGGTAAGAAATTTCAATTGAATTATTTTTATTCTAAATAAATAAAAGATTTCTCAAACTTATTCTTACAAATGATTAAATCGTTTGAATGAATATACTTAGGGTCATCGAAAAGTAGTGGCGGAGGTACTTTTTTTTCTTATAGAAAGCTTGAAAAAATATTCTTTTTTTATAAATTGATAGAGCATCTTTCGCTCTATTTTTCTATGCTATTTGATTACTAGTCAACTAATATCATAATAATAAAATTTTGATAAGAACTATTTTTGTTCAAAAACTAGCTGGTAGCATTAGGTCATAACGGATGGCACACTTTTGCATTTCACTTTATGATCAGTTAATGCGTTGTATTAAAAAAACCAAAATATACAAGTACAAGATACAGCGTGAAAAGCAGTACAATTTACAAAGAACAATTATAAAAAGATGAGATAGGAAAAAATGAAGTCGTCTTTTACCAAAAAAAAATCTTTTTTCGCAGCGTCGAAATTTGCACGCTCAGAGTCTTGTTCATTTTGAAAACAAAAAAGTATAACTAGAAAATAAGTGATCTTATGTAAATTTTAGAGCTTTTCACGCTGCATCTTGTACTTGTATATTTTGGTTTTGTAATAGAATACATTAAGTGATGATACAATGAAATATAAAAGTGCCTCATTTTTTTATGTCACATCCATTATGATCTAATATGCTACTAGCTAGTTTTCAACAAAAACAGTTCTGATCGAAATTTCATTATTATGATATTAGTTGAATAGTAATCAAATAGGATAGAAAAGAGAGCGAAAGATGCTCTATCTGTTTATAAAAAAAAGAAAATTTTTCAAGCTTTCTATAAGAAAAAAAAACAGTATCTCCGCTACTACTTTTGGATAACCCTCGAATATTAATATTATTTTCATAGATTTTTTTCTTATTAATATTGTAATTTATGTTTAGATGAAACTCTTTCATCTGGTATATTTAAAAATCAGATTAGAACACTTTTTCTTACAATTGATAATAATAATGATTATTATGAAGAAATGGTATTGTCAGCAACAAGCATAGTTAATTACATTTTGAATGTTTGCACTAATCTAATCTGTTTAATATTATATGAATCATTGTATAAAAATCGTGTTCGATTATTGTTGGATGATGAATTTCTTCCTACTTTTCGTTCTTCAACTCTTTTAAAATTGAATATCAGAGTACAATGTTTTGATGATTGTCTTCATCTTCTCGATGGTCGATTTAATCAACTTCATACGCTCTGTGTTGATTTAGTTCATATTCATCATCCACAAGAAATTATAAATCAAGTTAGTTTTATAAGAAAAATCTTTATATTGTTAAATAACAAAAGAAGTGTTATTTTTTAGGGTGATTTACCAAACCTAAAGTGTTTTTCTCTATCCTGTTATTTAGCAACAAGTTATTACAATGCATTGATCCTACCACTTCTATATCGAATGTCAAATCTAGAACAACTCGGTTTGTATATTGAAGTTACTATTAATACAGCATTTATTGATGGAAATCATTTAAAGAGAGATATTATTAATCGTATGTCACGATTAAAGCAATTTACATTTTATATTCATTCATTTATGATTAATTGTAATCAATTGGATTTTCCATCAACAGAAGATATTCAACGCACATTCATTGACTTTCCAAATAATAATATAATTTCTTATGTTGATTATTTTCCAGAAGCAAAAGAAAGTCAATGTCATATTTACTCTTATCCATCTTTTATGCCATATTACTACAATATTACAAATAATTTTCCAGGTGGATTATACAAATATGTTCGTGCGATATCATTATTTGATGAATATCCTTTTGAACATGAATTTTTTCTTCAAATTCAAAAATCATTTCCATTTATAGAAGAATTATCTGTGATTAATTATAAATCACAAAATGAAAAACAATCTTATGAATCAAACAATGACTGTCAAAATTTATCTCTTATTGAATATTCCTTTCTTAATGAACTTGCTATTGTCAAGGGTCATGATGATTATATAGAACAATTTCTATTTAATACTAAAACATATTTACAAAATAATGTTCTTCTTCATATCAATTATGAATCTTTGCAACGAGTAACACACAATTTCACAAGAGAAAATACACGAATTAACTGTGCCAAAATAAATAAACTACAATTATATGGTGAAGCAACATGTCCAAATTCTTCTTTACAAGAATATTTTCCTTATGCAAAAATATCTTATCTAAGAAGATTTTGAAAGACAACAAATAAAGTATTTTAATTAAAGACAAATAGAACTAGACCTCCACCCGGCCTGAGGCCGGCTAGAAAAGTCGGCTGACTGCAGGGCCCGAAAAATATCGAAGAATAATTCTATACGACATCTACCATTTCTAAACCTAACGCTCCTCAAAGTTTTTAAATGTTTGACAACAATATTTAGATAAATACAATTTGTATAAAATGATGAATAGCTATTAGACTGAAAGATGAAATTTTTTTTGTATGATGTCAGAGAAAAGAACAATTAAATTGATATAGATACACATGTGTCTGGTGTTGCAAATGATTTTAACATAATGAATTTGGACCGAAGTCAGAACAGATATTTTCTGTGTTTAAATCATTCACTCCACTAGGTAATATGCTCTTGGCAAAACATTATCATCTATTTTGTCTGATTTACGCACGCCATAGAACGTTTTATCTAAACGTACTAGACTCTTCCATGGATGAATTTAAGTTATACTATATGATAATTAAAGTGTATATGCACATAAGATCTGAGTAATGAATGGTCCTTTAAAACTGAGTCACGTATAACCATATAAGGAAACTATCAGCTGTTAATTATGGAAAATGATACTCAGAAGCTGAGAACGAGTGGCTGACTTAAATCGTGACTCATGCGTAATTATCATTCTTTTCGTTATATTTCTATCTCCCGTTTGGAGTCGAATTTTGAAAAACGGCTTGCAGATGTGCACTCGTCACGGTCTCACGATTTCGGCAATCTTTTTCTCAGTTTGAAATGATCATTAGTTACAGAGAACGAGTGGCTGACTTAAATCGTGACTCATGCGTCGAGAACAAGGAGAAGAAGAAGAAGAAGAAGACTAGACCTCTAGCCGGCCCAAGGCCGGCTAGAAAAGTCGGCTGACTGCAGAGCCCGAAAAATATCAAAACCTGGTCCTATACGACATCTACTATTTCTATACCCAAGAGTTGTGTAGAGGAAATCATAATGAATCTGAATCGTAGATTTCCATATAAGGAAGCTCTCAGCTGTTCATTATCGCTCATCGTCTCATCTGTCTAAACCATGAAGAGATTTTTTTAAATGCTTGAGACTTCTTCGTGGATGAATTTCAGCTATGCAAAACGATAATTAAAGTATATATGCACATAAGATCTAAAATATGAATGGTCTTTTAAGACTAAATCACGCATACCCATATAAGGAAATTATCAGCTGTTAATTATTCATTTTCACCATTCGTATATCTTCCGAACGCTGCCAAATTTCGAAAAACGGATTTCAGATGTGCACTCGTCACGTTCTCAGGATCTCGCCAAACTTTTTTTCGACTGAAAATGATGCTCAGAAGCTGAGAACGAGTGGCTGACTTGAATCGTGACTCATGCGTCGAGAACAAGGAGAAGAAGAAGAAGAAGAAGAAGAAGAATTTACCATGGCAACTAAGCGAGTGAAAAGCAATAAGTCGGCTACTGCACTT